TTTTTTTTTTTTTTTTTTTTTTTGTTTTGGTAATAGTCGGCTGTGATGATTAGTTACAAAATGGCAGCAGATGAGATGAAGACTGTGAGAGACTTCAGAAATTTACTTGTAGAATCCATGTTCCTTCAGGCACTAAATCAAAGGTTTTACAAAATATCTCGTGGCAAGGATCCTCCATTCTTTTTATGCTCAGCTGCAGCAGAAGCTGTTGTTCTTCCATTGAAAGCTTTTATAATGAGCTCATCCTGCAAGGAAAAAGGAACTGTAAAGGCACTGGAATCTATGCTGACTGAGGTATGGCTGTGTGCTCTGACTTAAACTTCAACATCTTCCTCTTTTAGTGTGATATTCTTCATCTAATGATGTATGCATTCAATTACCCATGTCCCATTATGCTTCAGGTTGCAAGAGTACGACTTCATGGGTTTTCAGAACGTGAAATATCTATAGTTCGAGCCCTACTGATGTCAGAGATTGAATCGGCCTATTTGGAACGTGATCAGATGCAATCAACAAATTTGCGAGATGAATATTTGCAGGTGCGTTGATGCTTAAGATTTATAATGAAATTTGGTGTATGTTAATATATATCACTACTTCTGATGTAATATCTTGTTTCTTTGAGCAGCATTTTTTACGAAATGAACCTGTAGTTGGGATTGAGTATGAGGCCCAGCTCCAAAAGACTCTTCTACCTCGTTAGTGTTCGTTTTTTCTTCGTAAAATCTAATAATGTTTAGTTTTCTGTGATGAATTATATAATACAACCATCATTTTTCTCTGGGGTATTACTTCTCCTCACAGATATATCAGCGTCAGAAGTATCTAAGTATTCAGCAAAGTTAACATCATTGTGCAGCTGTGTCATCAAGATAATAGAGCCACGTGCTTCTGCAACCGTTGACGGTTTAAAAAATGTTGTCATGAATATCAATCGTCTTGAGAAAGAAAGAAGCATTCCTCCTTTGGATGAAGAACATATCCCCGAGGAAATTGTCAGTACCATGCCAAATCCAGGGTATCTATAATTTTTATAACCCTGCGTTGTTCATGTTGAAACATTAAAATCTCAAGACCCTTGGGTCTCGCATCCTTACTGATTTGTCATCTAATATGGAACTTGTTTGAGAACTGTTTTTCATGTGTTTATACATATGTTCTATGGAACTCAATAAAACCGTGTATGAATAACTATTGTTTAAAATTTCATTTTTTTTTTCCAAATTTTCAGTAACATGAGATCTGCATGTTATCCCGTGGTAGTTCATAAAAATGTTTTCGGAAAGAATCAGAATGCTATTTCAGAGAGTTTCTCTTGCTTGCCTTTGAATTTCCAATATTCAATTATTAGGCAGCAATGGATACGAATTGAGTTAAAAGAACACATAAAGAGTATCATACTCAATTCAAAATCATATAAAGAGTAATGCATGTTCTTAATTTTGTTTAATTCCTTATGAAAAAGTCCTCCCTTTTGAAGGTTTGAATTCAGATGTTCACTAGGAGACTTTCAGTTATTATTGTTATAATGGTGTGGTAACTACACTTTTGTGATAACATTTCAGGAACATTTTGCAGCAGCAAGAATATCCTAACATTGGAGCTACCGAAATATTTCTATCAAATGGCATGCGAGTTTGCTATAAGTGTACAGACTTTCTTGATGATCAGGTACCTTGTTTATCTGATATAGTAATTTCTGCTGCTAGTTTTACTAGCAATGAACCAATCAATGTCAACTTAATATTTGCTGATGACATTACAACCATCTTTGACATGATAAATTTTACCATCCCCTTCCTAACACCCGAGGGGA